AAACATCCACCACACACTAACAAACACCCCCACACACTAACAAACATCCACCACACACTAACAAAACACCCCCACACACTAACAAACATCCACCGCACACCCAACAAACACCCCCACACACTAACAAACATCCACCACACACTAACAAACACCCCACACACTAACAAACATCCACCACACACTAACAAACATTCCCCGCACACTAACAAACACCCCCACACACTAACAAACATCCACCACACACTAACAAACACCCCCACACACTAACAAACATCCACCACACACTAACAAACACCCCCCACACACTAACAAACATCCCGCACACACTAACAAACATCCCCATACACTAACAAACACCCCACACACACTAACAAACACCCCCACACACTAACAAACATCCACCACACACAACAAACATCCCCACACACTAACAAACATTCCCCGCACACTAACAAACACCCCCCACACACTAACAAACATCCACCACACACAAACAAGCACCCCCCACACACTAACAAACATCCACCACACACTAACAAACCCCCCACACACTAACAAACATCCACCACACAAAAACAAACACCCCACACACTAACAAACATCCACCACACACTAACAAAACATCCACATACACTAACAAACACCCCCACACCTAACAAACATCCCCCACACACTAACAAACATCCACCACACACTAACAACATCCACCTCCACTAACAAACACCCCACACACTAACAAAGACCCCCCAAACACTAACAAACACCACCACACACTAACAAACATCCCCCACACACACTAACAAGCATCCACCACACACTAACAAACATCCCCCACCCCATAACAAACATCCCCCACCACTAAAAAAACATCCACCACACACTAACAAACCCCCCCCACAACTAACAAACATCCCCACACACTAAACAAACACCCCCACACACTAACAAACATCCCACACACTAACAAACATCCCCACACACTAACAAACACCCCACACGCTAACAAACATCCCCACACACTAACAAACATCCCCACACTAACAAACATCCACCTCACCACTAACAAACAACCCCCAACACACTAACAAAGATCCCCTACACACTAACAAAACATCCACCACACATAACAAACATCCCCACACCACTAACAAACCCCCACACCCTAACAAAATCCCTCACACACAACAAAACATCCCCCACCACTAACAAACACTCCCCCACACACTAACAAACATCCACCACACACTAACAAACACCCCACACACTAACAAACATCCCCACACACTAACAAACATCCACCACACACTAACAAACATCCACCACACACAACAAACATCCACCACACACTAACAAACATCCTCACACACTAACAAACACTCCCCACACACTAACAAACACACCACACATAACAAACACCCCACACACTGACAAACATCCCCACACACTAACAAACATCCACCACACACTAACAAACACCCCACACACTAACAAACATCCCCCACACAATAACAAACATCCCCCACACTAACAAACATCCACACATCATATCAAACACCCCCACACTAACAAACATCCACCACACACACTAACAAACATCCACCACACACTAACAAACACCCTCCACACTAACAAACATCCACCACAAATTACAAACACCCCCACACTAACAAACCATCCACCACACACTAACAAACATCCACCACACATAACAAACATCCACCACACACTAACAAACACCCCCACACTAACAAACATCCACCACACACTAACAAACATCCCCACACACTAACAAACATCACCACACACAAACAAACACCTCTTCACACTAACAAACATCCCCACACACTAACAAACATCCACCACACACTAACAAACATCCACCACACACTAACAAATATCACCACACACTAACAAACATCCCCACACACTAACAAACATCCCCACACACTAAACAAACATCCCCCAAACACTAACAAACATCCACCACACACCTAACAAACATCCACCACACCCTAACAAACATCCACCACACACTAACAAACATCCCCACACAATAACAAACATCCCCACACACTAACAAACATCCACCACACCCTAACAAACATCCACCACACATAACAAACATCCACCACACACTAAAACATCCCCCACACACTAACAAAATCCCCCACACAATAACAAAACATCCCCACACACTAACAAACATCCCCACACAATAACAAACATCCCCCACACACTAACAAACATCCCCACACACTAACAACACCCCCACACACTAACAAAATCCCCCAACACTAACAAACATCCCCCACACACTAACAAACATCCCCCACACACTAACAAACACCCCACACACTAACAAACATCCCCCACACACTAACAAACACACCCCCACACACTAACAAACATCCCCCCACACTAACAAACACCCCCACACACTAACAAACATCCCCCACACACTCATTGCGTTTCGAAAAAAATCCTACAGAAATTTCCCTCAGTAACATTTCTGGCTCCCTTCGAAGTTTTCTTATAATCAAACATAAGCATATTGCTTTTTCAGCCGAGCCTAATAGAATTTTCTTGCTCTCCTGTTATGCTTCCTCTCCTCTTATTAGCTATTCCTTTTATCGTATATTAACAATTTTCTTTCCTCCTCCTTCTCCACCTCCTCCTTCTTCTTCTCTTCTCCTTCTTCTATTTTCTCCTCTTCCTCCTTCTCCTTCTTCTTCTTCTCCTTCTCCTCCTTCTCCTTCTCCTCCTTCTTCTCCTTCTTCTCCTCCTCCTCCTCCCCTGCTCCTCCTTCTCCTCCTCCTCCTGGATCGGAATATTATATTGCCGACACTAGAATCACGTTAGAGGACACGTTTCCACTGTGAATACTTTTTGTTTTATTAAAGTTCCCTTTAGATAAAGCTCTGAGTGGGCGAAACGAATCGCTCATGAAAGACTGTTTTGCAACGTAGATGTTTTCCTCCTCATCCTCTTTTATTCTTAACTATAGTGGAACCAGTCCAGGTCTTCACTCTATTCACGTATATCCTGTGCTATCCTGGCTCTTCCTGTACTATCCTGGCTCTTCCTTTGCTACCCTGGTTCTTCTTGTGCTATCCTGGTTCTTCTTGTGCTATCCTGGTTCTTCTTGTGCTATCCTGGTTCTTCTTGTGCTATCCTGGTTCTTCTTGTGCTATCTTGGCTCTTCCTGTGCTACCCTGGTTCTTCTTGTGCTATCCTGGTTCCTCTTGTGCTATCCTGGTTCTTCTTTTGCAATCCTGGTTCTTCTTGTGCTATCTTGGCTCTTCCTGTGCTACCCTGGTTCTTCTTGTGCTATCCTGGCTCTTCCTGTGCTACCCTGGTTCTTCTTGTGCTATCCTGGCTCTTCCTGTGCTACCCTGGCTCTTCCTGTGCTATCCTGGCTCTTCCTGTGCTACCCTGGTTCTTCTTGTGCTATCCTGGCTCTTCCTGTGCTACCCTGGTTCTTCTTATGCTCTCCTGGCTCTTCCTGTGCTATCCTGGCTCTTCCTGTGCTATACTGGTTCTTCCTATGCTATCCTGGCTCTTCCTGTGCTATCCTGGTTCTTCCTGTGCTATCATGGCTCTTCCTGTGCTACCCTGGTTCTTCTTGTGCTATCCTGGCACTTCCTGTGCTATCCTGGTTCTTCTTGAGCTATCCTGGCTCTTCCTGTGCTACCCTGGCTCTTCCTGTGCTATCCTGGTTCTTCCTGTGCTACCCTGACTCTTCCTGTGCTATCCTGGTTCTTCTTGTGCTATCCTGGCTCTTCCTGTGCTATCCTGGTTCTTCCTTTGCAATTCTAGGTCTTACAATGCATCGCCTGGTTCTTCTTGTCTATCCCTCCCTCTTCCAGTGCATCACAGGCTCCTCATATTTATCTTTGGCTCTTCCAGTGCATTCCTGGATCTTCCAATCCTTCTTCCCATGGATTTTGTTGTCTATCCGTCCCTCTTCCAGTGCATCCCAGGATCCTTATATTTATCTCTGGATCTTCCAGTGCATCCCTAGATCTTCTTGTCTATCCCTCCCTCTTCCTGTGCATCCGTGGATCCTCCTGTCTGTCTCTGGATCTTGCTGTGTATCTCTGGATCCTCCTGTCTATCTCTGGATCGTTCTGTGTATTCCTAGATCTTCCAGTGGATCCCTGGATCTTCCTGTGCTTCAGTAGACTGATACTCTCTTGTACATTTTGAAAAAGTCGTAAATAAAATTTAGGAGAATTAGAAGAGGTTCATCAATTTTTTTTTTTTGAAGCTGAAGTCTTTAATAATGGGTGTTGGAGCATCTGAGTGAGTGTGCTACCTGCGACCACCTGGTATGACCGATTTGACCTGAGGCGACCCAGGGAGTTGACCCGGAAGTCAAGAGTTGTGTGGGAAAAAAATGTGTCAACGATTTCGCGTGAAGGCGAGGCTACTGCTGCCTGAGTGCCGCTATCTCTCTCTCTCTCTCTCTCTCTCTCTCTCTCTCTCTCTCTCTCTCTCTCTCTCTCTCTCTCTCTCTCTTTTCTCTTTTATTAGTTCTCTCCTCCCCCAGGGCTTTCTGCTCCTACCACAAGATGTCAGACTGTAAATAGCCTCACTTTCATCACTCTCTCTCTCTCTCTCTCTCTCTCTCTTCTCTCTCTCTCTTCTCAACACACACACTCTCCTTGTTTTGTTGGTGTTGTGCAGCTGACCGGTTGTACACCTCGTATGTCTTCATATTCCTCTTATTTTTCCACTTTTTAAGGTTCAACGGCCGCTCCACACCAGAAGGCTCTCTTTTTTTATGATTTTCCAGCAGACCAACACTACAGCTCCTGGTTCTTCTTGCAGCAGACCACCAACACTACAGCTTCTGGTCACTCCATCAGATCAATACTACGGCTCCTGGTCCCTTCAGCAGATCGAAGCTAACAGTTCCTCCTTCCTCATTCTAACACTAACCCTTCCTAGTTCTCTTCCAGCAGACCAAGTTAACAGCTCTTGGTTCTTCCTTCCCGCAGACATCAGCGTGGTGGTAACGGCGGCGCTGCTGGCTGTGCTTGGCGTTGTCTTCGTCTTCGGGACCCTCGTCAACTCCTTGGTCTTCCTGGTCTTCTACCGCAGACCCTCCCTCAGGTCACTCTCCAACAGGTGAGTTGCCCTTCATGTCAGTACAGCAAGTGGATGGATGGGACCTCAGTTCTCTATACAGACAGTGAATGTGTAATCAGGGTACCGTAGCCAGTGTGAAATCAGGACAATGTAGTCAGTCAACGTGGCCACAAAATACTGTACACACAATAAGTGTTATCCTCCACCACACACACACACACACACACACACACACACACACATATATATATATATATAATATATATATATATATATATATATATATATATATATATATATATATATATATATATATATATGTATATATATATATATATATATGTATATATATATATATATATAATATATATATATATATATATATATATATATATATATATATGTATATATATATATATATATATATATATATATATATATATATATATGTATATATATATATATATATAATATATATATATATATATATATATATATATATATATATATATATATATATATATATTATATATATATATATATATATATATATATATATTATATATATATATATATATATATATATATATATATTATATATATATATATATATATATATGTCGTGCCGAATATGTAAAACTGGTCAATTAGCAAGAACTCATTTAAAATTAAGCCCTTTCTAAAATTTTCTCTTATACGTTTAAAGATATATTTTTTTTATTAATGTTGATGTAAAAATTCATAATTTTGTATCAAAAGGAACTTAGAAAACTTACCTAACCTTATTATAACAAGAACAATTTATTTTAGCCTAACCCAACTAAATATATTTTAGATTTGTTTACAATAATTTAATACTTAGCAAACACAGTGAAATATATTTTTTTCGTTAGGTTCAGAATGATTTGGGCGAAATTATTGCATACACAAATTTTCACTTGTCCTATATGGCAAGATAAGCGTTGCTATTTAAGCCAAGATCGCAAGTTCTGCCTATTCGGCACGACATATATATATATATATATATATATATATATATATATATATATATATATATATATATATATATAATATATATATATATATATATTATATATATACAGTGGACCCCCGGTTAACGAACTTTTTTCATTCCAGAAGTATGTTCAGGTGCCAGTACTGACCGAATTTTTTCCCATAAGGAATATTGTGAAGTAGATTAGTCCATTTCAGACCCCCAAACATACACGTACAAACGCATTTACATAAATACACTTACATAATTGGTCGCATTTGGAGGTGATCGTTAAGCGGGGGTCCACTGTATATATATATATTTATAAACTTGCGATTTAGGATTAAATAGTAACATTCTTCTTGCTGAATATGGCAAGCGAAAGTTTGTGTATGTAATAATTTTGCAAAATTCATTCTGAACCTAACGAAAACACTTTGTATTTGTTTATTATTAAATTATTGTAAACTTATGTAAAATATATTTAGTTGGAGTAAGCTAAATTAAATTGCGCCTTTTATAATAAGGTTAAGTAAGTTTTCTAAGGTTCTTTTAGTACAAAATTATTAATTTTTACATTAACATAAATGAAAAAAATATATATCTTTAAAAGTATCAGAAATAATTTTAGAAAGCACTTGATTTTAAATGAGTTCCTGCTAATTGACAAGTTTTACTTATTCTGCACGACTTATACTTACCCCAAGACATATACTTACCCCAAGATTCTTTTCCTTTACTTTGACCTTTGCACTTTGTGGGGTTTAACTCCAGGAGCCAGTTTCTTGACCAGGCCTGCAGCCTGTCCAGATCCTTTTGCATTTCTGCTTGGTAATCGTCCGATTGAATTCTTCTCATAAACTTCACATCATCTGCAAACAGGGACACTTCTGAGTCTATTCTCTCCGTTATGACGTATACATATACCAGAAACAGCACCGGTCCTAGGACTGACCCCTGTCTAACCTAGCTCGTCACAGGCGCCCACTCTGACACTTCGTCACGTACCATGACTCTTTGATGTCTCTTCGACAGGTATTCCCTGATCCATTGCAACGGCTTTCCTGTTATACCTGCCTGGTCCTCCAGCTTATGCCTGAATCTCTTGTGTGGAAACTGTGTCAGAAGCCTTCTTACAGTCCAAGAAAACGCACTCTACGCAACCCTCTCTCTCTTGTCTTACTGCTGTCACCTATCATAGATCTCCAGTAGGTTTGTGACACAGGATTTCCCATCCCTGAAACCGTGTTGGTTGTTGTTAAGCTCATTCCTTTCTAGGTGCTCCACCACTCTTCTTCTGGTAATCTTCTCCATGACTGCAAATAATACTTGTCAGTGACACTGGTCTGTCTTCTTTTTTAAAAACTGGGACTACATTTGTTGTCTTCCGTACTTCAGGTAGTCGCCCTGTTTCGATAGATGTGTTGAAGATTGTTGTTAGTGGCACGCATAGTGCCTCCACTCTCTCTCTCTCTCTTCAGGACCCATGGAGAGATGCTTAGCAGCCTCTTCACTTCTTCCTCGGTTGTATGTATTATGTCCAACACTTGATGGTGTACCCCACTTCTCCGTATTTTTGGATTCCCTTCTGTCTCCTTTAAATCTCATGTTGAGCTCCTCGCATACTTCTCGGTCGTTGTGATCTCCCTTCCTTCCTTCCTTCCTCGGCCTGATTACCTGGGCCTTGACTGTTGTTTTTCCCCTGATGTGGCTGTACAACAACTTTCGGTTAGATTTGCATTTCGCTGCTATGTCATTTTCGCACCGCCGTTGGGCCTCCCTTCTTACCTGTGCATATTCGTTTCTGAATTTACGACTGCTCGTCTTATTCTCCAGGGTTCTTTGCCTACTATATTTGGTTTTGGCCTCTCTACACCTCTGATTGAACCAAGGGCTCATCCTGGTCTTCTCGTTATTTCTCTTACCCTTGGGTACAAACCTCTCCTCAACTTCCTTGCATCTGTTGTCGCATATTCCATCATCTCATTTACTGACTTCTCTGCCAGTGTTCTGTCCCACTGTATTTCGTGAAGGAAATTCTTCATGCCTCTGTAATCCCCTCTCTTGTAGTTTGGCTTCGTTTGTCCTGCCCTTCCTGCTTCCCTCTCCACTTGTAACTCTACTGTGTATTCGAAGCTCAGAACCACGTGGTCACTGGCCCCGAGGGGTCTTTCATATGTGATATCCTCAATATCTGCAATACTCAAGGAGAATACTAAGTCCAGTCTTGCTGGTTCGTCCTCTCCTCTCTCTGGTAGTGTCCCTTATGTGTTTGTACTTGAGGTTTTCCAGTATCTCCTCCATCATCTAGCCCTCCCGTTTCTGGGCCCCTTTGTGGCTCCAGGTTCTCATAGTCAATTTCTCTGTCACTGAAGACACCAACGATCAGCAGCTTTGCCCTGCTCGCATGAACCATTCCGGCCACTTCAGCCAGTGTGTCAACCATCACTCTGCTACTCTCATCATATTCTTGCTTTGGCCTCCTGCTGTTCTTTGGTGGGTAATACATCACTGCAATTACCACCTTGGGACCTCCAGATTAAAATGTTCCTATTATGTAGTCTCTTGCTTCTCCACTGTCTCGTCTCTCCAGCTCGTCAAAATCCCATTGGTTTTTGACGAGCAGTGCCACTTCCCCACCCTCTCTGTTCCCTCTGTCTTTCCTCAAGATCTGATATCCCATTGGAAAGATGGCACCTGTTTTTATTCTGTGCCGCTCCTACTTATTCGTTATTCCATCAGCGTTGGTGTACCATAACTTCAGTTTCCTCTCCAACACTGTGTTCTGGGGGTCTGTGAAAGATGGGGGCCCTGGTAGAGTGCTATGGGATTCTACAGTATATTGTGGGGTGGGGGTTGTATGTGTGGATTGTAGTTTGTGTTGGGATAGTGTATTTGGCTGTGGGGTTCTGTGGGTGGCTCTGTGTGTCTTACTCATCTGTTGGTGTCGCAGTAATAAATGAAAACAACATTTATGGTTCAACTGTTTAGACTGAAAAAAAAACAACAACAACAATCTTTGGGTCAGCAGGAAAAGCTGACTTTCTTTGGCCTCACATTTATACTTTTTCCTTTCTGTTTGCTTTCTAAAACAATAGAATATTTCTCAAAGTTTTTGTTTGTATAAATTTACGCTCATCAACAGGTGTTATTCCCTTTCACATTTTATTGAATTCTGTTTTATTTAACTCTTCTTATTTCATCTTTTTCCTTGGAGTTCGTTCTAGTTGTGTGTTTCCTGGGGGGTCGTTCTAGTCGTGCTTTTCCTGGGAGGTCGTTCTAGTCGTGTTTTTCCTGGGAGGTCGTTCTAGTCGTGTTTTTCCTGGGAGGTCGTTCTAGTCGTGTGTTTTCTGGGAGTTCGTTCTAGTCGTGTGTTTCCTTGGGGTCGTTCTAGTCGTGTTTCCTGGGGGGTCGTTCTAGTCATGTTTTTAATGGGAGGTCGTTCTAATCGTGTTTTCTGGGTCGTTCTAGTCGTTTTCCTGGGAGGTCGTTCTAGTCGTATTTCCTGGGAAGTCGTTCTAGTCGTGTGTTTCCTGGGAGGTCGTTCTAGTCGTGTGTTTCCTAGGAGGTCGTTCTAGTCGTGTGTTTCCTGGGAGGTCGTTCTAGTCGTGTGTTTCCTGGGAGGTCGTTCTAGTCGTGTTTTTCCTGGGACGCCGTTCTAGTCGTGTGTTTCCTGGGGGGTCGTTCTAGTCGTGTTTTTCCTGGGAGGTCGTTCTAGTCGTGTTTTTCCTGGGAGGCCGTTCTAGTTGTGTGTTTCCTGGGGGCTCGTTCTAGTCGTGTTTTTCCTGGGAGGTCGTTCTAGTCGTGTGTTTCCCGGGAGGTCGTTCTATTCGTGTTTTTCCTGGGAGGTCGTTCTAGTCGTGTGTTTCCTGGGAGGTCGTTCTAGTCATGTTCTGGTTGATGACATTACAGTCGTATTTTACCCGGCTTCTCTAAGAACGTCGCTAAGGCCACGTTCTTTGACTGTTGCCGTTCCATCAAATGCCTTTCATGTTCCTCAGAGTTTTCTAAGCAATTGTTGGGAGTTTCAATTTACCTTCAAGAT